TAGGTTTTCCTAAGATTTGAAATATATTTGGCCGTTCATTTTAAGAAGCCAGATTTTTGCACCTGTAGTGGGTTATCCTGCGTCTGCCAGTGCAATTCCCAGGTCCATAATTGCAATATTACTATCAAAACACTTGGGGGAACCGATTTTCGGAAAAGACTGAAAAACGTAATTCTTCTGAGTTTCTCAACTTACCCTTGAGAAAGCTTCTTTCATAAGTTCTAAGCAGCGTCGCGCGAGAAAAAAGCTCTATGAGGTTTCCGGCGGTAACCTTGTTGACGCTACCAGCTCCCATTTGTGTGAATGCCTCTTTGCTATCCGGGTTTTGGACGCTACCAAGTTCCGGTTCCCCTGGCTCCGGATCTTTCGCGTTCGTTTCGATTCCATTTTTTTTTATGACTCGGGCTGCGAAGGGCACCTGCGGCAAGAAAGAGACCGACACGCGCCGAAAACAACGCATCACTAATAAAAAAACGGGCCACCAGTGCGGTGCGAAAAACAGGGGACACAAATACGCAGAGGAGGGGGGAGAGGAAGAGGAGGGGAGGGAAAGTGGGCGACCTCCAAGTCCCCTCGCGGCCAGGCCGGGTCAGCGAGCGCGGCGGGTGATTCCCCTGCTGGGTGTAGGATTGCATCGGCGACAGCTTTGCGGAGAGTAGCGCCACGAATCCTCATCATTTGTTGATAAGTCCCCGGGCGGCCCCAGCACGCATTCTAGGGTGCAATCCCCGGTTTTTCTCCCTTGCCAGCCATTATGTGGTTCTTTTTTATATTGTGCCGGCCACGCACCAACAAACGGAAACATATATACCAATGCGGGCAATACTATACCGATTACCCAATATGATGTAGCCTGCATAATAATTACTATAGTTTTACTCGTCTGCAGGTCACCGTTGAACTGTAACGTTGCCGGTGTATGTACCGACGAACCATCGTTAGCAATACTAATTTCGGGTTTTAGTGTGCGGGCGTGCGGGTTCTTATTTGGTGGTAGTTATGAATTTAACTATGAAAATGCACAGTGGTAATTATGGTAACCCGGTAAATATGGAAACCCCGTGGTGGTAATTATGGAAACCCATGCTGGCAATTATGGAAGCCCGTGGTGGTAATTATGGAAACCCGCGCTGGCAATTATGAAAACCCGTGTTCAATTATGCAAACCCGTATTCAGTTATGGAAACCCGTGTCTCCCGTCCAAGATGGCCCAAGAGGTCTCCAAGAGCAAAAAGGCGAGAAAGCACAAAAACATTGACTTCCCCAGGTTTTGGAAGGATTTTGGCCTCTGTTGGGGCCCAAGAAGCGATTTAGTTGACACCCCCCCCCTTGTTTGATAGATCTCCTCCAACATGGCCGCAAGAGCGCCCCGAAGGCTCCCAAGAGCGCCCCAAGGCCCCAAGAAGCCCCAAAAGGCGCTTCCAGGAGGCCCCCAAGTGGAGGTGATGAGGGAAGCGGGGGAACATGCAGAAGAACAAAGGGCGGGGTACGCCGCCATACACCCCAAGAGGGAGAGGATGTAGGAGGAGTCGTCGTCGTCGGAGTAGGAGGAGGAAGAGGAGCAGGAGGAGGAGCAGGAGGAGGAGGGGGAGGAGGAGGAGGAGGAGGAAGATAAGGAGGAGGATATGGAGGAGGGCGAGGACGTGGAGGACGAGAGAAGGAGGAGAAAGAGAAGGAGAAGGAGAAGGAGAAGGAGAAGGAGAAGGAGAAGGAGAAGGAGAAGGAGGAGGAGGAGGATGTGGAGGAGGAGAGGGAGGGGGAGGAGGGAGGAGGAAGAAAAAGAGGAGAAGGAGGAGGAGGAGGAGGAGGAGGAGGACAGTGGCGAGCTTGGGGGCCTCTTGGGCTGTCTTTGGGGCCTCTTGGCGATCCCGGGGGCCTCTTGCGTATCTCGGGGGGCCTCTTGGACCTCTCCCCTGGGACTCATTTCTGGACGGGCTGGTGGGGATTCGCGAAGCGTGTAGAATCCCACCAGCCCTTTGGGCGTGAGTGGTTTAGAGAGCTCTCTCTGTCCTCAACCCCCCAACCCCCCTTCTTCCCCTTCGGGGAGGGGTTTACCCCTCCCCCTCCCCCCTCCCCCAGGGCCTGGAGAGGGAGTTCCGCGGGTCGTTGGAGGGGTCTTTTTCGACTCCTGGGAGGGCTAAAAAACGACACCCCTCACGAGGATTCTGGCCCCGACGGGGGGCCGGAGAAAAAACCCTCTCCTCTTCTGTGAAGCCAAAATCATAGATTTTACTACGGTTTTGGCCCCATCTGGCCCTTCTGAGGGGGCAGCGCTCCTCTTCCTTCATAGCAAAATCATTGGTTTTACAAAGGTTTTGGGCTCATTTTGTCCTTCTCAGGGGGCAGCGCTCATTTGCGCTTCTGAGGAGGTCGCAAGAGGCCCCAAGATGGCCCCAAGAGGCCCCCAGGAGGCTCCCAAGTGGCCTCCAAGAGGCCCCCAAGAGGCCCCCAAGAGGCCCCAAGAGGCCCCCAAGAGGCCCCCAAGAGGCCCCCAAGAGGCCCCAAGAGGCCCCAAGAGGCCCCCAAGAGGCCCCCCAAGAGGCCCCCAAGAGGCCCCCAAGAGGCCCCAAGAGCCTCCTAGAGGCCCCCAAGAGGCCCCACGAGGAGCCCGAACGACTCACACCAGGACGAGGGGCCCGAACGACTCACACCACGAAGAGCCCGAACGACTCACACCACAAGGAGGGGCCCCTAGAGGCCGCACGAGAAGCCCGAACGACTCACACCAGGACGAGGGGCCCGAACGACTCACAACACGAAGAGCCCGAACGACTCACACCAGAAGGAGGGGCCCGAACGACTCACACCAGGACGAGGCGCCCGAACGACTCACACCACGAGGAGCCCGAACGACTCACACCAGGACGAGGGCCCCGAACGACTCACACCACGAGGAGCCCGAACGACTCACACCAGAAGGAGGAGCCCGAACGACTCACACCAGGACGAAGGGCCCGAACAACTCACACCACGAGAAGCCCGAACGACTCACGCCAGGACGAAGAGCCCGAACGACTCAAACCACGACGAAGAGCCCGAACGACTCACACCAGGAAGAATAGGGGCCCAGAACGACTCACTCCGGACAGATGCCCCAACGACTCAAATCACGAGGAGCGCTTTCTCTCCCTCACTCCTCCGACCTCGATCCTTCGCCCGCTCCCCCAAACAAGGTGGATGTACAGGTGGCGGGAGGAAGGTTAAAAAATAATAAATACAGGGGTTGATATGCGGGGGGCCAGCGGACTCACGCCTGAAAAACAAGAATGTCGGCATGCTTCTGTCGGCATGCTTCGCAAGAGTTGCTGCTGTGTGATGGGCTGGTGGGGATACGCGAAGCGTAAAGAATTAGTATGTAACGTCGTCGAGTCGAATGCGACAAATCTTATTGCTATTAGACACACATGCATGTGCACATCTACTTATAGTGCGACTAAAGTATGTGTTTTAGAAAGGTTACATTGCATATTTGTTTGAGAAAGGTTAGCATGTACTATTATTTGTTTTAGGAAGATTATCATGAGAAAAGGTTATCATGTTGTATTTCTTGATGTGTACATATATTATCCACATATACATACACATATACATATAAATATATAGCTAGAACCATCGCGCGCGCTCGAAATCTAGCTAAGGCTGATAAGCTAAATCGTGGAATCTCATATTGGTCGCTTCTTCCGTCCAGGGACTCCCTTGGAGGCCTTGCGCAAGCCTCGGAATCGTATAGAACAGAAAATGCAGAAACGCAGAAATCATTAATTTCGTTTGGGTGTGGGATCCCCTGGACCCACTGGAGGTTATGGAGACCTCCTGGAGGCCTGGAAAGCCGTCGGAAGGGTGTCTCGGGCTGCGCGGGAGCGTTTTGGGCCGTACGTTCTGAGGGCTCCTTGGGACTGTCTTGGGCTAACTTTGGGCGGCTTGCAGAAGCCCGGGAAGATGGGCGGTACCGGCCAGATGTCAGGGGATGGACACCCGAGCAGGAATTTCACTTTGAACACACAAATTGGGAATTCGCTTTTTTCCTAAGCGTCCTCTTTCAAAATCCTCGATTTTTAAGGATTGTAAGCGGGAAAACGTGAGAAGGCGAAAAACATCAGAAAAATCATCGGACATCAACGATTTTACCCTCTGTGAGCTCTTTCGGGACGGCTCTCGCAGTTCTCTTGAGCTGTTCTTGAGGCCTCGTCGGGGTCTTTCTGAAGCCTCTCAAGAATCGAGGATCTGTTGTGGCCTCTGGGTGGTCCCGGAAGCCTCTCGGACGTCTCTGGAGGCCTCCTGCTCCCGCTCTTGGGCCTGTTCTGGGGTGGTTTGGGGCCGTCCTGGGCGCCTCTTCGGCAATCTTGGAGCCTTCTTCGCCCGACTTGAGATCGTCCTGAAGGTCTCTTGGGGTGGTCTGGAGCGGTCTTAAGAGCCTCTTCGGCGCCTTTGGAATGTTAGAAGCTCGAAAACGCGAGAAAGCCAAAAACATAGAAAAACCATTCGAAATCAACGATGTTGGCCTCTTTGGGCCGTCCCGGGACGCCTCTCGGACCGTTCTTGGGGTCTCTTGGAAGCCACCTGGAGCTTCGAGAGCCGTCGGAAGGCTGACTTGGGCTGCTTGGGAGCGTCTTGGACCATCCTTTCGCATTCTGGGGGTTCCTGGGAAGCGTCTTGGGCCCTCCTGGGGTGCTGTGGAGGCTCCCCGGAAAGGCTGGGGAGCGGTACCGGGAGCGTTCCCGAGATGTCGCGGGGAAGTGTGGGACCCGGGGCCGGGAAGGGGAGCGGTATCTATTTATATTCTGTACATGTATGTATAAAAAAACTGTTGCACGCATGCATGTACATGTATGTACATGTACACATGTATTTATATTCTGTGCATGTATGTATGCTTCACATCGCGAGATGCACGCATGCAAACTATACGGCCACATGTGTTTTTTCCCCCTAAAATGCCGCAATGAATGATCTTCTTCCCGCGTCTTCTGGCTTAGTGTTTTTCCTATACTTTGGAAAACGTCCAGCTGTGTCTGCGCCTCCCTCCGCCAACTCCGCTTTCCGCAGTCACCGATACAATCATCAAATAAACAACTGCCGACAGACACTCGAACAACGCAGCGGAATCGGCAACTGGCCATGCGAGAACGACCTTTCAAAAATCAACCGGAATCTGGGTGCTAGTCCACACCCAGCGGTCCAAGGTCAGGCGGTGGCTGGGGAGCCTGGGCAACAAGCATTGTCCAAAAAAACACAAGAAACAAATCGCGATTGGGATATGCTTTACGGAATTCCCTTTCCGCCCTTCCGCATCGCGCAACCAGGCTTCCGGAAACGCATTCCCAGCAAACGGTGCCGAAATGCCGAAATGCGCGCGTGCCAGGTGAACCATCCTACAAAAGAAACCTACAGACAAGAGGAGAAAAGGGAAGAAGAGGAGGAACGGAGGAGGAAGAGAAACACACCCCATAGAACCTGCAAGTCTGCCGTAAGACAGGGCGGCTCGCGCTGCGCTCGCGGAATGCCCCCGGAAACCATTGGCCTCGAAAGCCGAACGACGGCTTCAGCAATTGAGCAACGGCTTCAACAACCAAATGCTGGGCTCGGCTTCCGCAACAGCAGCAGCGGTTCCTCAACAAACAACAGCGGTTACTACCGCAACAGGCACCAACAGTTTCGGCAACAGTCAACCAGCGGCTTGAGCAATAGACAACAAAGGTCTTATGCGTGGCGGGGATTTATCCATATCCACCGCCTGGAAACCGACGTCCTGGTGCCCCAGCGGGCGGTGGATATGGATAGATGTCGGCCCCAGGGGGCCCGAATATGTCCATATCCACCGCCGGCCGAGGCTCCGAAAACTGACCCTCCAGGCGGTGTATATGGATAGATTTCCGCCTCGGATTTTAGCAACATTCAACCAACGGCTTGCGCAACAAATACTTGGGGATTCGCAATTGACCCTGAATACTTCATGGAACAGTGAATAATAATACCATCTTTGTCAATCCATTTTTCGTCACGGTCGGACCGAGGTATAAGATCGAGGCCAGTTCGGGAAGGGTATCTTTGGTCCGGCTGTATATTCGTCGGTGTCTCGTTTCACCCCAATGTTCTTATTCGAGTTGCGTCCCATTCTGGTTCCTTCCAATGTTGGCCCTTCCCAGTCTCCCATTCGATATTTTTGTCCCGTTCTCTGCGTCCCTCTGTTTCAAACTGTTTCTTCCCATTCTGGCTGCATTTTTCCAATGTCTTTCCATTTGTACGATTTGTGTCCGATTCTCCCCTCTAGTTGGGTGTCCATCCCGTGGCGGCTTTCGACGCTCTCTCCCGTTTTGTCTCATTCCATGTCTTTCGCACTCCAGCCAAATTGTCTCCTTAACATTCTGCTATCTTCTCCCAGTCGATTTCTCGATCAATCTCACTCTGTACCGACCCCACCCTGGACTGAACCTGACCAGACACCACGGGCCACCGCGGGACATTACGGGGCACCATCGGGTGAACGTTGATGTATGACATGTTCTGGAGACGTCGGGCTACGGGAGTGTCAGGCACCCGTCGCGGCCGAGGCCACCACTGCCCCAAGTGTTGATTGGTTGCAGCCTACGGTTTTCGATCTGGCATCATCTCTTGCATTTCGTTTGCGTTTCCCCCTGCCTGTTCGGCGCGCCCATTTCGCTGATAGGGAGATGGCAAGCATCCCCACGTGTGTTCTGTCTGGCTACTCGTAGTGGAATTCGAATGCGAACAAAGTGGTGGCGAGTGTATACTACAATATCGTCAGAACGTCGTAATCGTCCGGGCGACCGACTATTTCAATACCGACACCACAATGTTGTCTCTCGGTCGGTTTCTCTCTTCCGTGCATTGTGGCAAAGATCATGTGGAATCCCACTAGCCCTCTGGGCATAGATGGTCTAGAGAGTTTTTTCTTCCAACCCCCTTCTTCCCCTCCGGGGAGCCCCTCCCCTGGACCTGGACGGGGGGGTTCGCGACGCGTTGGAGCGTCCAAGATGGCCCAAGACGGCCCCAAAAGGGTCTCAGAAAGCCCACGATGACCTCCAAGATGGCTCCACATAGCCTAAGGTACTTGACGATGGCTCCCAAAATGCTCCAACAAACCCCAAGAACGCTCCAATACGGCTCCAAGATGCTTCCGACATTTCCCAAGAGGCCGCCAAGAGGCCAAAATCCTTCAAAAACCTAAGACGGCCCAGGAGGGCCCTGAAACGGCAAAAGAGGGCCCTAATCCCAAGGGAACCCCGAGACTGCATCAAGGGAGGCCAAGACAACCCCACGACGGCCCAAACGAGTTTCATCACCACCGTCATTAGCATCATCATCATCATCATCATCATCATCATCATCATCATCATCATCATCATCATCAGCATCATCATCATCAGCATCATCATCAGCAGCAGCATCATCCTCCTCCTCATCATCATCAGCATCATCATCATCAGCATCATCATCATCATCATCATCATCATCATCATCATCATCATCATCATCACCATCATTAGCATCATCATCATCAGCATCATCATCAACATCATCATCATCATGATGATGATCATCATCATCATCGATATCATCATCAGCATCAACAGCATCATCATCATCATCATCATCATCATGCTCAGCATCATCATCATCATCATCAGTACCATCGGCATCCTCCTCATCCTCATCATCATCATCAGCAAAAGCAGCATCACCATCATCATCATCAGCAGCATCTCACATCCAAGTTTCATCATCATTACAGCAGCTCATTCAACATAATCAGCATCATCATCAACAAACATCGACTTCAGCCATCCATCTCAATGGTCATCCTCATCATCAATAAACATCACCAACAACCTCCTCATCATCATCATCCTCAACATCAGGACGGAATCAGCATCACCTCATCGTCATCATCGACAATCAGCACGCCATCATCGACATCAACATCATCATCGTCATCATCATCATCAACATCATCATCGTCAGGAGCATCATCCTCATCAATATCATGCTCATCATCATTATCATCAACATCATCATCATCATCACCAGCAGCAGCATCAGCATCACCACCGCCACCACCGCCATCATCATCAGCAGCAGCAGCATCGTCATCATCATCAGCAGCAGCATCAGCATCATGCTCTTCATTATCAGAAGTATCATCATCAGCAGCAGCATCATCATCATCATCACCATCATCATCGCCACCATCACCATCATTATCATCATCATCACCCCCACCATCATCATCATCGTCATCCTCATCATCATCATCAGATGGTCCCGCTCGTCCTTGTACCCTGGTGCTGCCCTCAGCCCACACAAGCCACGCTACATGTACGTACCACTATTCTGGTTACTCAACTCGGGCTAGCGGCCGGGCTCAGTCGAGAAGTATTTCTGTCGGTGCAGCGAGATGCAGGCCCGAACGAGGTTGGAGACCCGTTCATTTCACGACAACTGGACAGGCACATACTGCTTCGTCTGGCCTAGTTTGGCGCGGACTGACACTTCTCACCACCACACATTAACTTCTTGGCAGAATCGAACACACAAAGGTCATCATCAACTCTGTTCGCATACCGGACTTGATTGAACGCGCTGTGAACTTGATCGAAACCATCGTAACAGCCCTGAAGAGGAATTAATGTACCAGGCGTGTAAGCAGAACTCGAGAGCATCGGATTCGATTGCCAACATGCAACTGACTGCGAGATTGTATTGCCCGTTAAAGCCTCCTTGGCGCCGTACTTGACCACACCACAGCTTGCCAGAAACACTTCAAGATACAGATTAGCGGTTCGGAGCATGCTGTTTTGTACTGTGCGCAAGTTCAACTACTCCCGAAGACTGTTTATGGCGCCGGCCGTCCAGCCTGTCGAACGTTCCTGCCAACCTCGCGGAGCAGGTCCCTTATTTTCGGACATCTTCCTTGGGCGGCCAAAGCAGCACATTCGCACTCGCACCCCTTCCTCTTCATCCTCACTCAATATCGTGCCCCTGCCCTGGGAGAAAGAGAGTGAAGGGGGGGGGTGAGGGGGAGGACAGGAGAACGTGTATGTGTGTATGTGTGTATGTGTGTGCGTGCGTGTGTGTGCGTGTGTGCGTGTGTGCGTGTGTGCGTGTGTGCGTGTGTGCGTGTGTGCGTGTGTGCGTGTGTGCGTGTGTGCGTGTGTGCGTGTGCTTGTGTGCGTGTGCGTGTGCGTGTGCGTGCGCGTGCGGGTGCGCGTGGGCGTGGGCGTGGGCTTGGGCGTGGGCGTGGGCGTGGGCGTGTGTGGGCGTGCGTGCGTGTATGTGTGTGTGTGTGTGTGTGCGTGCGTGCGTGCGTGCGTGCGTGCGTGTGTGTGTGTGCGTGTGTGTGCGTGTGTTTGTGTCCTCCCACTCCTGGGACTGGTGGGCCTTCACAGCCTTCACGTGCGCACCGCCGCGGACCTCCAGGTCAACGTTCCCGCGACCCGCGAGGGAGGTGCGGGCCAGGAGCGCAGCAGCTGCGAGGAGCACAAGAGCCATGGCGCCAAAGGGAGCCGAGCGGCAAAGCTAGAGCTTCTCGGCGAAAGCCAGCGATTTCTTTGTGACCCAAGCTTGAGCCAGGATCGGTGCGGGAGCAATGAGCGAGGAGGATCGGCAGCGAGGGGGAGCAGGCTCCCTCCCCCTCCCTCCCTCCCTCCCCTCCCTCCCTCCTCCTCCTCCTCCTCCTCCTCCTCCTCCTCCTCCTCCTCCTCCTCCTCCTCCTCGTCCTCCTTCGGCACGGGCCACGTGTGAGCGGCGGTGCGGTGTACTCGGCGCTCTGCTGGCCTGCTGGATGTCGTGCCGCGTCGGCACGCCGCCGCGTGCCGGCTCGGCGATGCTCTGGCGACCCCTCCCGCCGAAGCAGCACCGCCACCGCAGTGGCGTGGCATGATGACGACGAAGCGGCGACGTGCTGCCGCTCGTCTCATCTCCCCCCCGCCGCCGCTGGCCCTGCTCCCCTCGCCCGCACCCTCTCTTCCCCCCCCCCACTCTCTCCCTCCCTCTCTACCCCCCCCCCCCTCTCCCCCCCCCCTCTCTCCCCCCCTCTCATTCCCTCCCTCCTCCGCCGCCTCTGCCTCCGCCTCCCCAGCCTCCCGCCCGGAGGCGGCCCGAGACCAGGGGAGCACAAGGGTCACCTGGCCCCCCTCCGCAGAGGGGAGTGGCCACGGAGGGGAGGGGCCCTGTTAGGGTGGGGAGTGAGTTCCGTGCCCTTCTCGCGAGACGCCCTCACCGTCGAGAGCCGAGGCCCCCTGGCCCAGCCCCACAGGGGGGAGGGGGCCAGGTGGGGGTGGAGGTGCCCTGGCCCACCTCCGCAGAAGAGATGGCCACAAAGGGGAGGGACCGGGTGTGGGCAGAGAATACGTCCCGCGCCCCCTTCGCGAGACATCCTCACAGTCGGGAGCCGAAGCTCCCTGGCCCAGCCCCAGACGAGGGGGTGAGGCCAGGTGTGGGTGGAGGTGCGCTCTCTTCACCCCGCGAGAGATCAGATGGGGGAGACCAAAGGTGCCGATACCGCTACTCCCCGGACCTCTCCTGGGGTATGCATCGGCGATGCGGCTCGATGAGGAGCCCGAGTTTCTCCACGCCGAAGTCGCCGGTGCATCACCGACGTTGCCTGTGCATCGGCGATGTGACGCGATCCTCCGACCCCATCTACTCGGACCCCATCTAGGAGGCCTGACCAGAATTTCGAGGCGAATCCAGCGGTGGCGACGAGGGCCTCCCAGGAGGCCCAAAGCAGCCAAATCGAGTGAAGGGCAGCAGTAGCGGCACCTGCCTTGTCCTCCCGCCCTGACGGCACAGGCTCCGACCTGTCGGCCGCCGCGCGAGCCGCTCCAAGCCCCATGACGCTAGGTCGGGCACGTTCTCCTACAGGCAGATTCTGCAAGGGACAATGTGAAGAGTCCAAACATCCTTCTTGTTTAGGCGCGACAGGCAGTGCTGGCGGGACCCCTGTGGGCCCGCTCTGAAGGTCTCTCCGGCCCTCACAGGGGGGGTGGCCCGGGGCCCGACACCCCCTCACAGGGGGGGGGGGCGGGACGCCTCACGGGAGCGACCCACGCCGTCGTCAGAGCAGCTCGCAGGAGAAGCCGGCCTCGCCGCACGAGCGGCTCCCCCGGGCATCACAGGAGCGGCGCGTCCTCGTCTCTCGTGGGACGGGTGGGGCGGGCGCAGGCGAAAAGCGAAGAGCGCCCGCGGCTGTCCAGAGGGTGCACTCGAGTAAGGCTTCACCCTCCTGTCGCACCTCGCGGTGCGCAGCCAGAGCTTCTGGGGCTGTCCGAGGTGTGCGCTCGTGTGATGCTCCGCCCTCCTGTCGTACCTCCCATTGCACAGCCATGCCTTCCAGGAGTGTCCGAAATTGTAACGTCCATGTGCTGTCGTACCTCGCAGTGCACAACCCAAGCTTCCGGGATTGACCGAAGTGTTTGGGGTCGTCCGATGCTTGCGCTCATGTGTGTTTGTCCGCCCTCCTACTGTACCTGCACATGCACAACCAGAGTATGCGGGGTTGCCCACAGTGTGCGTGCGAATCTGTTTCCGCCCTCCTACGATACCTCCCGGTATATAACCAGAACTTCCAGGTTGGCCGAAACGCCGAAACTTGCGTTGATGTGGCTTTCCGTCCTCCGATCGTGCCTTCCGGCGCATGGCCAGAGCTTCTGGAGGAGACTCCGATTGGTCTTGCACTTCCGCCGTTGAGGGCAGATCCTCGGGCGGTAGCCTGTTCCCAGTGATACCCAGTTCCAGCGGCAGGTTGTTGCAACTCCTGCTGGATGTGCTATCCCATGGGCCACAACATGGGGCCCAATTTCAAGGAGACAATTGTTCAATGATGCTGGCTCTAGCGACCAGATGTTACCTCCCCCCGTTCTCCTGCTCCTCTTCATCCTTATTCCTCGCTACTCCTCCTCGTCCTTCTCCTCCCTCCATCCCTTCCCTCTTCCTCCTCCTCCTCCTCCTCCTCCTCCTCCTCTTCCTCTCTCCTCCTCCTCCTCCTCCTCCTCCTCCCTCCCTCCTCCTTCTTCCTCTCCTCCTCCTCCTCCTCCTCCTTCCTCCTCCTCGATGTCATCCATCCTTATTTCTCCCCTCCGCCTCCCTCCCGACCTGCTCCGTGATCTGATTCTCATCCGCCCCCTCTCCTCTCACCTCTCCTCCTCCTCCTCCTCCTCCTCCTCGCCTTCACCAGACTCCTCCTTCGCCCCTCTGGGCTCTCCATCAAGGTATCGGGTGGGGTCCTTCCGTTGGCCCCCCCTCTCCAACTCCCACCCCAACTCCGACTGCGCGAGGGGGAGGGGGAGGGGGAGGGGGAGTGGGAGGGGGAGGAGGAGGAGGAGGAGGAGGAGGAGGAGGAGGAGGAGGAGGAGGAGGACAAGGGGGTCACAACATGCCAGGAGGTAAGGGCAGCACTGGCGCCACCGAGCGAGCACGGCGGGGGCCAGGACTTCAGGATCCGAGCTGTGCAGAGCACCGTGCCTCCCACTGGGGCCTCCAAAGCCATCGGGGTGCCTCCGACGGGGGAGGCAAGAGAGGCACCGACGCCGCGGCTCTCGGAAACCACTCCCGGGCCACACAGCACGACCAGAGCTTCAAGACGAATCCAGCACTCCGTTTGCATTTCGTTTGCGTTTCCCCCTGCCTCTTCGGCGCGCCCATTTCGCTGATAGGGAGATGGCAAGCATCCCCACGTGTGTTCTGTCTGGCTACTCGTAGTGGAATTCCAATGCGAACAAAGTGGTGGCGAGTGTATACTACAATATCGTCAGAACGTCGTAATCGTCCGGGCGACCGACTATTTCAATACCGACACCACAGTGTTGTCTCTCGGTCGGTTTCTCTCTTCCGTGCATTGTGGCAAAGATCATGTGGAATCCCACTAGCCCTTTGGGCATAGATGGTCTAGAGAGCTTTTTCTTCCAACCCCCTTCTTCCCCTCCGGGGAGCCCCTCCCCTGGACCTGGACGGGGGGGTTCGCGACGCGTTGGAGCGTCCAAAATGGCCCAAGACGGCCCCAAAAGGGTCTCAGAAAGCCCACGATGACCTCCAAGATGGCTCCACATAGCCTAAGGTACTTGACGATGGCTCCCAAAATGCTCCAACAAACCCCAAGAACGCTCCAATACGGCTCCAAGATGCTTCCGACATTTCCCAAGAGGCCGCCAAGAGGCCAAAATCCTTCAAAAACCTAAGACGGCCCAGGAGGGCCCTGAAACGGCAAAAGAGGGCCCTAATCCCAAGGGAACCCCGAGACTGCATCAAGGGAGGCCAAGACAACCCCACGACGGCCCAAACGAGTTTCATCACCACCGTCATTAGCATCATCATCATCATCATCATCATCATCATCATCATCATCATCATCAGCATCATCATCATCAGCATCATCATCAGCAGCATCATCCTCCTCCTCATCATCATCAGCATCATCATCATCAGCATCATCATCATCATCATCATCATCATCACCATCATTAGCATCATCATCATCAGCATCATCATCATCAACATCATCATCATCATGATGATGATCATCATCATCATCGATATCATCATCAGCATCAACAGCATCATCATCATCATCATGCTCAGCATCATCATCATCATCAGTACCATCGGCATCCTCCTCATCCTCATCATCATCAGCAAAAGCAGCATCACCATCATCATCAGCAGCATCATCATCATCATCATGTTCATCATCATTACCAGCAGCATCATCATCATAATCAGCATCATCATCAACAACATCGTCATCACCATCATCTCAATGGTCAACCTCATCATCATTAACATCACCATCATCCTCCTCATCATCATCATCATCATCAACATCAGGACCGGAATCAGCATCACCTCATCGGCATCATCGACATCAACATCATCATCATCGTCATCATCATCATCAACATCATCATCGTCAGGAGCATCATCCTCATCAATATCATGCTCATCATCATTATCATCAACATCATCATCATCACCAGCAGCAGCATCAGCATCACCACCGCCACCACCGCCATCATCATCATCAGCAGCAGCAGCATCGTCATCATCATCAGCAGCAGCATCAGCATCATGCTCTTCATTATCAGAAGTATCATCATCATCAGCATCATCATCATCATCACCATCATCATCATCGCCACCATCACCATCATTATCATCATCATCACCCCCACCATCATCATCATCGTCATCCTCATCATCATCATCATCAGATGGTCCCGCTCGTCCTTGTACCCTGGTGCTGCCCTCAGCCCACACAAGCCACGCTACATGTACGTACCACTATTCTGGTTACTCAACTCGGGCTAGCGGCCGGGCTCAGTCGAGAAGTATTTCTGTCGGTGCAGCGAGATGCAGGCCCGAACGAGGTTGGAGACCCGTTCATTTCACGACAACTGGACAGGCACATACTGCTTCGTCTGGCCTAGTTTGGCGCGGACTGACACTTCTCACCACCACACATTAACTTCTTGGCAGAATCGAACACACAAAGGTCATCATCAACTCTGTTCGCATACCGGACTTGATTGAACGCGCTGTGAACTTGATCGAAACCATCGTAACAGCCCTGAAGAGGAATCAATGTACCAGGCGTGTAAGCAGAAC